CACAGTATAATTTTTTTACTTTTATTTGTAATTACTTCTTATATTTTACTTCTTATTCTTGTTTTAGATTAATTAGATGAATAAATTATTCTTCAATTTTATCTTTAGATTAACGATAAAATATACCCTTTTTATTGCATTGATAACGTCACGTGTTCTTCTTTCTATATCTTCTTTCTGTTTCAAAAATCCATTCGTTGCTGTCGTTTTCCGTATAAAATCATTCGAGTATACGATGCGTAAATCAATTAGCGAATTAATCTATTACTACACCCACGAAAATTCACACTACGATATCAAAGGCATTTGCGTCTACAGGCGCCAAACCGATTACGCTTTTGCAAAAATCGCCGCGGGCTAACGTTAATGAACGTGGTGGAATCGGAGGCAAGACTATTTATAATCCAGACACATCGTTCAAGCACACGCGGTAATGCCAGAAATAACAAATCCAAAGTCCTACACGAATAAGACGAACAAGGAGACGACGTCTGCTCCAATAATTGGCGATAATTCGATTGAAATGCATATAATTAATTAGGAAAAAGGAAAAATGATGCATTGGAAATAATCTCTTTGTTAATTGTTCGATAATTGCTGAGGCAATAGTTGATGAAAGTCTTGTATCCCAAGAATCATATTTAAATTTTTAAATAAAATCTGGAGATTAATTTAAAAAAATTACGAGAGAGATCAAGCATGATTGATTCGTGTAGGAGGAAACGGCAGTGTTTTTGCTCGCTCGCTGAAAAATATAGCACCGGAAGAGGTTGGGCGGTTAAGAAAGTTCCTGTTGTCCGTCTGGTCGCGCAATTGTGATATCGACCAATTAAGCCAACGACCCACGCCTAATTTTTCTTTTCGCGCTGCTCCAACCTCTTCCGCATCGATAACATCTTCGTCATCCCAACTCTGAATTAGTGACTCTGTCGTTATCATGTAACACTCACACATTATACAGAGTGAGAATGAAATGGATGATCCTACTATGGGTGTTCAATTCTTCCTAAGGATGAAAAAAAGTCATATAAATATCTGGATACTTTTTCTTTCCGAGATATAGATACGTTTTGTTTACATCGAAATTTTTCATGAATAACTGTCACATGTAGAATAATTACGAGCACTATCAACCTTTTTTACATGCTCTCCTGACTTTTTTAGACTTTTTTATTTGTGGAGACATCCATGATGTAAAAAGATTAGGTGTAACATTCTCAAAGATACGCAATAGTATTTCCTTTGATCAATCAGAAATAAATGTTACGTCTGTGAGTGTGGTCCTCTCGAAGCGGGGCTACAAATGCTTCAAAATATTTTTTGATTGGTCAATTTACAAAACTTTTTTTCCTAATTTAAACATTTTCATTTAAACACTTCGATTTGAGCATCAAGTGGATTCTACTCTGTCATGCAGGAAAAAATATGGCTTCTTTCACATAATGTAACAAGACAAGTTATGGTTGTACGCATTAGTTTATCATCAGTTATTACATCATTATATTTTATCATACACACGTTATATTTTATTTTTATAGTTTACTATGTATTATATATTTTTATTAATTTATGAGGTTTCGTGTAAATATAAATTTACGTCGTTTTACATTTTCATCTTTTAATTTTGTTTGTATATTTCTGGACAAAAATTTTGGTTGGCTATTTTATTTTTCGGCCGTTATTATGCGCAATGATATACCTGGTTTTCTTACACGGGGACATCTAAAAAGTTTAATTTATGATAATATTATAATACTAATATTATAATACTAATAGTCTGGAAACATTAAAAAATCGGATTTTTACCGCAAAAAAAAAAAAAAAATTTAGTGACAAAGCTCAGAATACATCAGGAATTTTTAGAATATCTTCAACAGTTTCAAAAATGTAAACTGTGCATTATTACAAAAGGAAATAATTTTCAGTAATTTCTTTAAATAAGTTTTAAGGATTCCTAAAAGACTTCATAATGAACAAACAATTTTTACATCTCGGGAAAAAAGATTTTTTGGATCTATTGTATGTTTATATAATCTTTCTTTCTTTTAAGAAAAGTAGAATAGGATCCCTAAAATGGAATCAAAAAAATCATTTATTTCAGTTCCACTCAATATATGAAACGCCGATTAATTTTCGATGGTCTCAAAGCAAATCTAAATCTATCCTAATATTTTCCAAAGAGGATGATACAAATTATTTAAGAAATAAACAAATAAAATTTATGAATAGAACTCTTTGTTGATTTTATATGAGTTTGTGTGAATCTCTTTTTTTAGGCAATAACATTCAAAAATTAAAAAAGCAACATTTCCAGAATTTTGTCTAAAACTCACGTAGAGATTTATAAATCTTTTAAAATCTTTTATATTCATACAATGAAATATAAAACTCGTGCCAGATAAAAAGAAATGTTGTATAAATCTAAGATATAGCTAGATAAGCGTCTAAGATATTTTCGTGTTTTAATAATCCAAATGATTTGTTTAACTCATAGAGAATTATAGAACTAAAATTACAATTCTCAATATTTGTATTATAAAACTATAATTCTCATAAATTTCCGTCAAATAATAATATAGTAGCTTTAGAAATTTATAAATTTATGAATTCTTTAATTTCTTTTTCGTTTCGATTTTCGTTTCGAGTATTAAGAAAAATAATTTATTATTAAGTTTAACATTAATTATTATAAATATTGGAGACAACGTATCCCCGTAAAATTTGCACTAAATCTTTTTTCTGAGAATACTGATAAAATATTCTATAAAAAATTGTTGTCCTTTAATAATATGATTATTGATTTATAGAGTCAATTTTTTTCTTATTCAATAATTATTTTATTTATTTCGAATGATTATGTTTAGATCTACGATAATTATTTTAATCGCGTAAGGATAATTTTACGAAAAATCTTCCTATATATCTGTACTCTCCTTGCGTTCGCTTATAATGCATCTTTCGTAGACACAGTTGTCTCGGGTCATTCCTCATGTAATCACACTGACATTATCTATTAGCTACAGTTGTTAGGCCTATGGCAATGACCCTTCTTTTCCAATCGCATAGCTCATTTAACGTCGCCAATGGGACATTGGAAATCGACAAAATATTGCAAAAACGATCGATTATGTATTTTGATTTGTTGAATGATATGATTTAGATTTTCGCACATATAAAAATGCGAACAATAATTTTGAAGAAAAAATAAGTACATTGTATATATTTAATACTTAATAAATAATCGATCAAGTATATATTTCAGTTAAAACGTTCATATTAGTTTTCTTTTTCCTCCTACATATTGATAAATAAGTAGTGTCTTTTGTAAAACAAAATAATTTTGTTAATATCAATGGAAAATAAATTTTAATTTCTGAGGTGCACTCTGTTAAAATTAGTGTTATTCTTTATGTCAACGATTTTTCGCACAAATCAACTTCACACTAAAAACGTATTCTGATACGCATCAAATAGCCATTACGCAAAATATAAAAAACGTTTAAGTGCCATTATTTTTTTGTTCCATTCTTGCGTCGATACAAAACCAGTTTCGTTTATCAGAGATGCAGACTTACCACATGGCCTGAACAGACACCGGCTTGAAGATGTGTTGACGACCGCAAACGCTGACCTTGAAACCCCTGAAAGATTAAAAAATTGAGAAATAAGATCGTGATGACCTTTAGAAATCATGATCAATCATATAATGATATCCTTATACGCAGCGCTTTTCCATTAAAAGACTATTGCATCAATTATGAAAGATGATATTCTGTTTCACGCGTATAATTTACTGCCTAAAATTATCTAAATCGTGATAAATAGAATGCAGAATTAACGTAGAACAAAAATAAGATGATATCTTTACTATTTATGCTTTCAGATAATAATAAAGATAATTCAAAGAATTTTAAAACAAAAGACATAATTATACACGTAACAAAATTTACATAATAGCAATTGTATAATTGATTATTAAATCCATTATGGATTACGGATTCAATCATTTTGTTGTCTTTGAGAAAATAAAGGAATATCTGAAAATTTTTGAGCTTTGTTCCTACATATTTCTAAGTTTGTGATTATCGGTAATTTATGTATTACGAAATTTTTTTGTAATATATCAAAATGAGATACTGTGCAATTTTCTGATTTGATATTGGTTCGACTGTGTTGGAACAAATCCTTAATTTCAATTTTAAATTTTAATTTTCGAAATAATAAAAAAATGACAATGGAACTAATCTAAATAATTTAAAAAAATTTTTAAATAATTTTAAAGTAATTTTAATTAAAAAAAAAAATTAAAACTATAATTAACACAAGACAAATTATATTTATATTTTATTTTAAAAGTACTCATTAGTACGACAATAGACATTGAAATTGTAATTAAAGAAGAATTTCTCGTAAAATAAAGGACAAAATTGAATTTTGAAAAAATAAATAAATCAGGAGAGCTCCTCAAATAAAACACTGTCTTTTATTAGAATAAGAAGAACGTTATTGTAATTATGTGTAATTAATAAAAATATTCTTTCAATTCTGTATTGAAAGAAGTGAAAGATTTAAATTTATTTATTATTAAGAAAAAAGCAAGTGTTTATAAATTCTAAATTCTTGTTCGATTCGCTTTTATTTAGGTCAATATCAGATTTTCTGTCACTCTAGTAATAGGCAGATTAATACTCCGCTCGTGCGGAGTGCTGCAAGATTGCTCGACTCGACGGTGAATGAGTAACATCGTCTTAATAGGATGACTGATGATTAAAATCGATTTGGTCATGCGAATCGGGCGATCGCCATTAAATTGGCGAGCGAAGCGACGGCGCTTCAAAACTGCAACACAACTGTAACGCAATTCTCGCGATTCTTACGACACAAGAAGAGGCGCGCACTCATCGCGTCATCATTAATTAGGCATTACGTAAAGGCGATCGCACTGCGTGAGTATCGCAAATCGCAAAACGTTGCCGTAATACGCGCCGGCTAGATTTCCGGAAAATTGTTACCGATTCCGCGATTCGTCTTTTCCCGAAAGAAAACGATACTCGCGTCAGACATCGCGTTACACATACGCGGCCGATTGTCATTGGAGTGTCGCTTTTCCTCATCAACGAATACTAAAAGTGAAATCATATTTAATTAATATGATTTTACTCATGTCGATGCGTCAACAAGACGTCTACTCATATCCTCCCCCCAAAAAATTCACTGGAAATTTTTAAGCAATTTATTAAAAATTGCAGGTAAAATGAAAGAGAGAGTATTTTTAAATGTACCTTAGAAATGAATATATTTATTGTGTAACGACTTTAATATTTTCTATTTAAAAGAGTTTATAAAAATCATAAAATAAAATTAAGAATTACACAAATATAAAATTTGAAAGAAACTATAAGAAACTTTAAAAAATAAATGTTTCATATTGCATAAAATTTTCAAACTTTAGTTTCAAAAAAAAATATATATATATAATCGGAATAAAATTCAACTTTTATAAAATTAAACAAAATTTTTTTAATTAAAATAAATATTGGTCTTGATTAAACAAAATTGCATATAACACGAAATCATTGTCTTCAGTATTAGTCACAAGTTTTTAAATATAGTATAGCAATGTATAAATAGTTATAAACCTGACAAATCAATTAATATTATTTTGTCATAACATGAATATAACTCTTCTTTAATTCGATTTGCCATTGCATGTCGAGGCACAAGTAGTGCCTAATCGCACAATAAGGCACGATATAACAAACATTCGCTGAATCAAAATATTCGCGACAAATTGCAGTTATGTGGACGAAAATAAATTGTCGAGCATTGCCGCGAGTATCAAATAGAATCGCGAACAATGCAACGCAAAGATGCCTCGCGGCTTGGAATTTGGGCGTGTTGCATGTAACAAAACGTCGAGGAGGGATTCGTGCAGGGATCTCTTACCCTCACGGAGCAGTGCAAAATAGACGAAAAAGAAATGCAATTTCCTTCCCCCCGCCTTCCCCGCGAAATTACCTGGCTCCGCACCGTTATCGTCCGGATCGTAAAGCGGATGCCCTCTTTCCTCTGCTTTCGGATCGTAATTCGCCTCTCTCGTCGATTACAGTTACCTTCTACGTATATTCGCGAAACGAATTTTATGCCAGGTCCTTCTCGCTTCTTTCAGCGAGCTTCTTTGCGTCAAACGCTAAGAAATTTGCAAACCGCGCGATTTACGGGTAAGTTTTCCGAGTTTATTATATTAGCAGATTCCGATACACAAAAAGGTTATATTGTACGTTCCGTAATGTTTTAGTAATAACACCGCAACTCTGCATTCTCCGAACTCTAAGTTATTACCAATTTAAACAGAGTATGGTGTATGGTGTATCAAACTTTAACATTTTAAAGTAAACAGTATCTTGACAATTATTGGATATAAGAGTGAAACTATTCATATCGACAAAGAAAAGCAAAAAAGAAACAGCTTTTTTTATATCATTTTATTCTACAGGATATTCACTCGAACCTCTCTCCCCCAAAAATTCCCTAAAAATTCCGCAATTTTCAAAGCATTTGTTAAAAATTTCAGATATAATGAGAATATTTTTGTAATAATGTATCTTAGAAATAAATATATATTTATTGTGCAAAGTCCCTAATATTTCAATTCATAAAAATTTATAAATTTTAAAATAGAATTAAGAGCAGTGCAATAATTAAATTTAAAAAAAAATTTGAAAGAAACTATAAAGATTAGTTTAAAGATAAGTATTTCATATCGTATAAAATTTTTAAAGACTTTGTTTTCAAAAGCTACAAATAAAAAATTATATAATTGATATAAAATTCAATTTTTATAAAATTTTAAAATAAACAAATCCGCTTTTACTAAAAATGAAATCATTATCCTCTATACTGAATATTGAATTAGTTGTAAATTCTATATGCTGTGTATATATTTATAATAAAATGGTTCATTGTTATTATTAACAATTCAATCAGTTCATAAACATATAAATATAACATAAAACATTAGAAAAAGTAACTTTAAAAAAATTCTCCGATTTTCAATAAAATTCCATGAAAATTTTCAGATTTTTCAAGGTATAAACGAATTCCTTGGGAATTCCAAGTTTTTCCAGATTTTTCCAAATAGCTTACACTCTGTTAAATTATGCGCGAGTTAAATTATGCGCAAATTTCTAAGAGTTTAATGAGAGTTCAATCTGTCTGATACACAGAACCAATCAAATTGCTTTGAATTAATGCTATTCTAATCTTATTTTAACGCCGCGCAAATTAAACTTGCAAAGATTTATGTAAATTATATTACAAAGAATGAATTCTGCGCAATATTCATTACTTTAATGATCGGTTACACTTTACTTTATTTTTGTATGTCAATGAGACACACATGTCGATATCATGAGACTGATGGAAGGGTAATTGCAATATTGAACGCGTTAACTAAATTCTCTTCATCTCTGGCTACATTACGTGTTAAATAACATGATTAAGACTATAATCTACCCGGAAAGAGACAGTAAGAGAGGTCACTAACTCGGGACTAAGTAAGTCAAGCTGTTGTTGCAATCAGTTGTAACAGTGTTTCAAATCGACTGATCCGAGAAAGCAAATGACGTATCGCAACGACTCTAACTTGCGCAGAAGGACTGTAACTTTCTAGCAAGTTTGCGACAGTCGCATCGAAACGAGAGAGAGAGAGAGAGAGAGGAGAGGGAGGGGGGAGGGAGATGAAGACAGACGATAATCCGCGCCTCGCGGGTCATCGACATCGTAGGAACGCGAGCTGACCAACGTTTGCGTTTGCGATCATTTTCTTTTCCCGGTCCTTTTCTTTCTCCTTTCCCTTCGCATCGAATTGACCATCCACCGCCCCACCGTCCTTTTATCGCTAATTTCGCAAGAATTGCTCGCCCGACCGGACATGAACGTCGCGCGCGTCGCCTAGTCAATGTGCTCTCGCGTGAGTGACTTTTTGCCTACGGGGAAAAATGAGAGACAGTGTCCTCTAATCACGCAAAAAATTATGTATCGAGATCGCCCAGACGCGACGTTCACGATCGTTTTGTTGGTATAACGCAGCGGTTAATGAAAGTTCCGCGACTATTAGATCCTTAACTATAACATGCTATGTCGACTGTCACTTTAGAAACGTCATTTCAGTCGTCAGACAAGTTATCGATAAATGACGCATGTACGTTTATTACAAAAAATTAATAATCAATTACGTCAGACATCAAATTCAATAAATAATCTTAAAATAATCTTACAAATCAAATCTGTTTACATTAAACATTAAATCTATTCTGAATAAAAATAATAGAAGTGTTCATATTTTTTGCAGTTATGGTCTTTATATATAATATAAGAGTAATTTTAATTAATATTAATCCTTGTATCAGTTCTATATTTCAATTTAATTAACATATGTATTTAATTTCTTTTTCGCTCATCATATAGGATGTCTATCCGAAAAGAGTTTCTTCCCGATTGAGAATTCCCCGATTTCAGTATAAGGACAAAATGTTAGAAAAAAACAACTTGTCTATAATATTGGATCAATCAGTAAAATCAGTGTTCTGACATTTAGAGGAATCCATTATTCTTAACAAGTCCGTCAGTAAATTTACGATATGAACGATTATGATATGAAGATAAAATATTAAAAAAAGTAATTTCAAAAAAATTTACTGACTTTTAATAAAATTTCCCGACAATTCGCCAATTTTATTATAAAAAAATATATAGAAAAGCAATTTCAAACAAACTTCCTGGTTTTAAATAAAATTTCCAAAAAATTCTCTAATTTTAATATATTCAAGGACAAAATGTTAGAAAAAGCAACTTCAAAAAAATTTCCTGATTTTCAATAAAATTCCTTAAGTTTTCAAGGCATAAACAAATTCCCGAGAATTCCAGGTTTTCCAGGTTTTTCCAGATAGTAGACATCCCGTCATATGATGCATTATGTGGTATGCGGTATCATACATATGGTTTGATCGTCACGTCTCGATTTCACAAGTTATGTCGCGACCTTCCATCCCAGGTAACCTTGGTACTCACCTGTCAAGTACCAAGTACCTTGCTCCAACACGCGTGCCTTACGGTAACGCGCTCCATTTCCCTACGCCCGAGAGAACGGTGGCGACCTTCGCATTTATCTTTATGGAGGCGGTATTATATATTATGCCGACATACGTCAGAATGAAAACGAAAAATCGACAACGTGATTTCGCAAATCTAGGAATTCGTGGGTACGGTAATTTCCTCGGACTCTCAAGTTTGAATTGAAATTTGAAATTAAGTAACTTTGGTTCTCGTCCTTCAATTTGATAACTGAACACCTTTCAATAGGGAAAATTAAAAATGGGAGATTGTCCATCCACTGTATGCCAAAAATATAAAATTAAAGGTCTACAAAACTTTTCGGGATTATCTGTCATCGAAGTTAGTTTGAAAACAAGTCAAAAGCACAATTACAAATTTTTTTTGTAATATGAAAATTAAGTATATTTTATAAAAATATATTGTATTTGTGGAATGTATGTCAACCTTACCGGGCGATACGTTCTCACTTCTTCTTTTTAAAAGTTATTTAATTTGTACAAATATTCACACGCCAATCGATATTCGCCTTTTTTAATTCCAGAATCCGACAAAAACGTTTTCATTTTAAAGTTTTGTGAACTAAAAAATATATAATAAATGACATCATATTTCAATGCGACAGGTTTATGTTCCCAGCAAGACACGCGTTGAGCGTGTCATCAATCTTTAATAATGCAATCGGATATATTAAAATTGGTGACAGCATTCTGATGCATATTCCGACAGTAAAGAACGAGATTGCGAGTTAAATTTCGCTTCTTTGAAATAAAAACTGCGCTTCGGGGGAGGAAAAAAAAAAGATGAGAGAAAGGAAGAGAAAGCATACGGATATCAATATTGTCTACGCGGTGTGCATTGTCTACGTTGGTTACGGATAAACAGACCGTGTGCACAGTCTATACTTAGACTATTACTATCTACATGCTTGACACCCACTGATATTCATTCTCCTTTCATTTCGCGTACGCACGCCGCCGCAATGTTCGGCTAATTATCGATGCGAGATTCAGACAACAAGTGAGCCGTGGCAATGAGTCACTTTAAAATAGAGGGAATTAAACAAGTTGGCACACACAGCTGTTAGAAAGTGGCCGCGTGCCTGTGCCGCTCTGAAAATATTTGTTGATCAATTAGATTGTCGGTTACAAAGCAACGCAACGTCAGCACAACATCTGAATCATCGGAGATTTCAATCAAACGAAATGTATCCGAGTTGCGGAGTGCCTCGAAAATATCGCATTTCTGTCATCAATTCCTTGATCAATTTAATTCTGAAGCAAACATAGATTTTATCTCAGAATTTGAAGTATTTAAACAAATTTAAGCATTTCTTCGTCTTCCTCCACTCTTAAAAAATATCATTATATAATGTGTCTATAAAATAAAAAGAAAATGAACATTTATTTTATTTATTTATTTTTTTAAGCAAAAATTTTTTAGTGACAAACAAAAAGCTAAATTTTGTTACGTATTTTTATGTAATCTGTATTGAAAAAATATCTTATTCAAAATTTCAATTTAGAAATTGAGAATTTATATTAATTAATAATTAATTTTCGCATGTGCATGAAATTCTTAGTGTTTATCATAGAGTCAATTAAAATTTCATTTTTACAAGACATTTTTACATCGTAACAAATTTATAATCTACATTTATCTATAAAAAGACAGATTGAAGATAAAGAAAACATACGATTAGAAATACATATTGGATCAAGATAAAGAAAAACGAACATTTCGCACCATATTTCTGGTTTTAAAGAGATAAAAATTTATCAATAAGTTCTTTCTTGTTGATTGATTATATACGTGTTGCAGAATAGGAAATGTGTTAAAATATGCACATTACTATCTATGATAAGACCAGCGGTTGGGCTATCTTGTTCAAGTGTGTGTGTGTGTGTGTGTGTGTGTGTGTGTGTGTGTGTGTGTGTGTGTGTGTGTGTGTGTGTGTGTGTAGTACGTAAGTAAGAAGGTAAAGTAAGTTAACGTTAACGTTAACGTAACGTTAACCGTAACGTAACTAACGTAACTTAAGTTAACGTTAATTACTTTAGTTTACGTTAGTTACTTACGTACGTATACGTACTACGTACTTACGTTACGTTACGTTACGTTACGTTAACGTTAACGTTAACGTTAACGTTAACGTTAACGTTACGTTAACGTTAACGTTTAACGTTTAACGTTAACGTTAACGTTAACGTTAACGTTAACGTTACGTTACGTTAACGTTAAGTTAAGTTAAGTTAACGTTAACGTTAAACGTTTAAACGTTTAAACGTTTAAACGTTTAAACGTTTAAACGTTTAAACGGTTTAAACGTTAACGTAACGTAAACGTAACGTAAGTAGTACTATATAGTAACTAGATAGTATTAGTAGTAGTACGTAGAGAGTAGAGAGTAGAGAGAGAGAGAGAGAGAGAGAGAGAGAGAGAGGGGGGGAGGATGGATGGGATGGATGCAAACTCACCCGTCGCCGTCAAGAGTGATAGCGGTGTCGGCCAAAACTCGGAGCACGAGGCCGACAGTTGCCCTGGCGTGACAATCGATACCTAGAAGACAGCTTTCCTCGGCGTCCTGTCTTCCTGTGCAAGAAACGACGACGAGATATCGCGTTCTTCCTGGATGCACCGATTCCAGTTTCACGGCCTGAAAAAAGACATGAGAATATCTCTGATTATTCGAGGCCCAATTTTAAAGCATTGCTCACAGATAAGTATTTAAACTTTGCTCGTGAATGGAGATTTAAGTTTAAATTCGTCGATTAAAATGCTACGAGCTACCTCAGACATGATATCACCGAATTAAAGGTAACGTAAGCTTAACATGTTTCTTCGAGAATCTATGAATTAAGATTAAGAATATATTGCACCTATTTTTATTTACAATAAAAAAATTATGAAAAAAATCATAGATTAATCTAGATCGCATTTCAAAATAATATGCGACGGTTTAGAAATTTGGATCAGAAATTATTTAAATATAAAATGAAAATGTGTTTTTAATAGAAGTTGTGTAAAAAAATAAAAGTGTAAAGTAATAATAATAAAATAATGACAAAAATCTCTATTTTTTTATGTAAATACTTTAGGTATTCGAGATAATTTATATAAAATTTCATCGCAATGCAGAGCTTAATTGTTCTATAAATAAAAATTAAGTTTTTATTAAGAACACAAACAAAACAAATAATGATACAAATAAAACTAAATTTTTACAGAACAACTAATCTCTGTATCGCATTGAAAATTTATATAAATAATCTTCAATACTTAAAGTATATATTATATAAAAAAATTGATATTTTTGTCATTATTTATTAACTACATTTCCATTAGAGTACTTATCTATTTATTTAAATAATATTTTATCTACGTTTTAAATTGCTGCTTTTTTGTATTTATTTTTAAATGTGATTTAGAATGTGTAAGTTTCTCACAACTTTTTCATTGTAAATCTAAAAATTATAAAAATACATGAATGTAATACATTTTTAAAATAAGAGTAATATATTATCTTTTATCTTAGTGTCTAAATCTAATGTTCTCGTATCAAAATACATTGTTTCCAAGAGTACTGATTTATATCTTTCTGATAAAACATTCATCATATCTAAACATAACATTATTTGTAAAGGAATATCTCTATATGTCCAAAAATATATTAAACAATTTCGGAATGTTAAAAACGGAATGTTAGGTATTAAACATACAAAACAGAGTTTCTTAATAAAAATAAACAAATCGACAAATATAACAAGAAATTATTTGATATTTCGCAGTTTTAACGACTGGCTGCCCATTTGCATCGATATTACAATAATATTGCAATATGGTTTGTTTTGCAATTGCGTACAAACATTACAATGTGCGTGCAATATCAAAATTCGTTATTCGTATGTTATAAATATTTAATGGAAATGGAAATTTAATCAATTGTCATTTCATTATCAAAATAACAAGTCATTTTGAGCGGAAAATAAATAGAGAAACAAACTATAATTATTAATTCTTTATCACAAATTATTTTTACAATAAATGTTTCGAATACAATTATTAATAGATCTTAAGATAAAATTAAGTGTTTTATGATGTAAATAGTATATTATATTACAAAAAAAAAAAGAAATAAATTTAAATGTATCAAAAATGCATTAATTCCTTATATTTATTATCTCCAATATTTACCAGATATATTCTTGTCTTGAAGATAAATAACAAATTAATAATTAAGAAATCTATATATAAAATAGAAAATAGGTTAAATAGAAGATTGGTCGAGTAGTAAACTCTTATATTAAAAGATGAAAGGATCTAGGGATAAGTAATGATAAAATTTCCCCAGATAGATAATTTAACAAAATAATCTTCTAAAAAATAATATATTGAGGATAGATACTTTATACAGTTTCCCAATTTCCTAAATATCCCCGTTAGCTATAAGGATAAACGTAAAAAACTGAAGTAATTTATATCTCACGATCGATCAGATAATAAAATGAAATAAAAATCAATTAAAAGAGGAATTTCAAGTGAATATTATTATTATATATTCTTTTTCAGATATCTATACGATTACTAAATGCATAACAAAATATATAATATTCAAGCTTGAAGCTTCTTTTTCATTTCATTTTGTTCCATTTCTTTATATCTGACCGTTCATGAGATATAAATTACTTTAATTTATTAAACTCACCCTTGTAGCATCCTAATGGAGATGTTTAGGAGATTGGGAAATTGTACAGAGTACTCATTTTCAATAAGCTACTTTTCAGGGTTGCCGTGAAAATGAAGTCTAAAATTTCCTGATTTTTTTCATGTTTTACAGACTAATGGAGAATTTTCCTAATGACTAATAATGTTAAATTTTAACATTTAGAAGCAGGGATATAAGAAAAATAGGTTATATTATTAAACGCAACACAATCTTAGAAATAACTAACAACAATATAATCCTGAATGCAAATTTCAAGTCAACTCAAGTCAAAAAATAAATGACTATTGAAAAAAAGAATGCAGTTGTGACAAAAAAGAGAAATTAAATAAAAAATGCTGAACAAAATTCTAAGTGCTTTTTAAAACAAGAGTATTTAAAAGTGCCAGCAAAGTTTAAAATTTCAAACTCTTCTCTACATCTTCTGCCTTTTCCAGGCCAATTTAAATTTTCATGACGTTTCTCGGTTTCGCAGGTTTCCCAGGCGTGTGATAACTATGCTTTCAGACGACTGTTGCATTAAATTATCTTTAGAAGCAATTTTTATCGTACTTATTTCGCTAGACCTTTTCGACGAGGGAATTTCCGACAGTTAAATCCGAATGTTCAATACAATAATTCCTCTGCTCGACCAAACGCAAACGTATCTCCGCTCCGAAACGGTTAAATGCAGTTTCGCCATGGACGATGCGCGTTCGATGCTCCCGAAGCGCGCCATTTAATTACTTTCACCGTTCCGTTTGTTATCTCGCATCGCAGCGAGAGAATTCAGCCCAGCAGCTACTGTGGAGATCGGGAGAACGAAGCGGCGAAGGAAATGACACAAATTATGGGAAATCACACGCATGGGCGAATGCAAAAAAGAGCAACGATGCTCCGATGCTCTCCGATCTCGAGTATCTTGAAGTATCTCTCGCGATCCGTGAGGCGGACCGGAATTCGCCGATTACGGAGTGCGTCCACTTTACGAGTCGATCGCGACTCGATTGCGACTCGACTGTTGCTGCGAATGTAGCGATCGGAGCGAGCCCTCGAGTACAGTGGGCGTCGGCCCACTGCATTTTTGCAGCGTCTAATGTGGCAATTAACGCTTCCGCGCTCCCTAGGAAGAATTCCAACCGCGATAACAGACCGGATTTCGTCGGTGATTACATCTTAGGCTTATTTCTCTAGCGCTTGGCGGATACAATTTTTCTCGTTTGAAAGAGCCGAAGAAAAAATGATGAGGCGGGCATTAATCGCGCATTCGGGGCATTCGCGCGTGACGCAAAGCGCAAGCATTAATAAATGATGAGCGCGGAATTGCGTACTGAGCTAATCAAGTTTCATATATCAACACTACGTAACAAAAACAATTCAGTGGGAGGTCTTGGAGGATATTTGGAGCGGAAAGAAGAAAATACTTCCAG